ATGTTTCAAGATCTGTCCTGAAGTACAATGCTGTCAGTGATAGGATAATATCCATACACCTACAAGGAAGACCAGTTAATATGACTATTATTCAAATTTACACACCAACCACCAAAGCCAAAGATGAGGAAATTGAAGATTTTTATCAACTTCTGCAATCTGAAATTGACCAAAAGTGCAATCAAGATGTGTTGATTATCCCTGGTGATTGGAATGCAAAAGTTGGAAACAAAGAGGAATCACCAGTGGTTGGAAAATTTGGCCTTGGTGGCAGAAATAATCCTGGAGATCACATGATAGAATTTTGCAAGTCCAATGATTTATTCATTGCAAATACTTTTATTCAACAACACAAATGGAGGCTATACATGTGGACTTCACCAGATGAAGTACACAGGAATCAGATTGACTACATCTGTGGCAAGAGGCAAAGGAAAAGCTCAGTATCTTTGGCCCAAACAAGGCCAGGAGCTAATTGTGGAACAGATCATCAACTGCTCATATGGAAGTTCAACTTGAAGTTGAAGACAATTAAAACAAGCCCATGAGAGCCAAAATATGACCTTGAATATACCCCTCCTGAATTTAGAGACAATCTAAAGAATAGATTTGATGCATTGAACATCAAGGACCAAACACTAGAAGAATTGTGGGATGACATCAAGAGCATCATCCATGAAGAAAGCAAGAGGGCATTAAAAATATGAGAAAGAAAGAAAAGACAAAAATAGATGTCAGAAGAGACCCTGAAACTTGCCCTTGAGCAAAGAGTAGCTAAAGCAAATGGAAGAAATGACAATATAGAAGAGCTGAACAGAAGATTTCAAAGAGCAGCTCGAGCAGACAAAGCCAATTACTAAAATGAAATATGCAAAGACCTGGAGTCTGAAAACCAAAAGGGAAGAACATGCTTGGCATTTCTCAAGCTGAAAGAACTGAGGGAAAAATTTAAGCCTCGTGTTGCAATATTGAAAGATTCTATGGGCAAAATATTGAATGATGCAGGAAGCACCAAAAGAAGATGGAGGGAATACACACAGTAATGGTACCAAAAAGAACTGGTCAATGTTCATCCATTTCAGGAGATGGCATATGATCAAGAACCAATGGTATTGAAGGAAGGATTCGAAGGTGCACTGAAGGAATTGGTGAAGAACAAGGCTCCAGAAATTGACAGAATACCCATTGAGATGTTTCAACAAATAGATGCCCCTCTGGAGGCACTCACTTGGCTATGCCAAGAGATTTGGAAGACAGCTACCTGGCCAACTGACTGGAAGACATCCATATTTGTGCCTGTTCCAAAGAAAGGTGATTCCACAGAACATGGAAATTATCGAACAATATCATTAATATTGCATGCAAGTAAAATCTGACTGAAATTAATTCAAAAACTGTTGCAGTAGTATATTGACAGAGAGCTTCCAGAAATGCAAATTGGATTCAGAAGAGGATGTGGGATGAAGTGTATCATTGCTGATGTCAGATGGATCTTGGCTCAAAACAAAGAATACCAGAAAGATGTTTACCTGTGTTTTATTGCCTATGCAAAAGCATTTGATTTTGTGGATCATAACAAATTGTGATAACATTAAGAAGAATGGGAATTCCAGAATACTTAATTGTACTCTTGAGGAACCTGTACGTAGACCAGGAGACTGTTGTTCAAACAGAACAAGAGGACACTGCATGGTTTAAAATCAAGAAGGGAGTGCATCAGGTTTGTATCCTTTCACCATACTTATTCAATCTGTATACTGAGCAAATAATAAGAAGATGGACTATATGAAGTAGAAGATGGCATCAAGATTGGAGGAAGAATCATTAACAACCTGTGATATGCTGATGACACAACTCTGCTTGCTGAAAGTGAGGATGACTTGAAGCACTTACTGATGAAGATTAAAGAATACAGTCTGCAGTATGGATTACATCTCAATTAAAAGAAAGCAAAAATCCTCACAACTGGACCTATAAGCAGCATCATGATAAATGGAGAAAAGATTGAAATTGTCAAAGACATCACATTGCTTGGTTCTACAATTAATGTCAGTGGAAGCAGCAATCAGGACATCAGATGAGGTATAGCACTGGGCAAATTGGCTGCAAAGGACCTCTTTCAAGTGCTGAGGACCAAAGATGTCTCCTTGAGGACTAAGGTGTACCTGACACAAGCTATGGCATTTTCAATCGCCTCATATACATGTGAGAGCTGGACATGGAATAAGGAAGACTGAAGAAGAATTGATGCTTTTGAGCTGTGGTATTGGCAAAGAATGCTGAAAGTAGCATGGACTGTGAAAAGAACTAACAGGTCTGTCCTGGAGGAAGTGCAGCCAGAATGCTCTTTGGAGGCGAGAATGGCCAGACTTCCTCTCACATACTTTGGTCATGTCAGAAGGTACCATTCCCTGGAGAAGGATGTCATGCTTGGTAAGGTGGAGGGTCGACAAAAGAGGGGAAAGCCCTCAATGAGGTGGATTGACATGGTGGTTGTGGTGATGGGCTCAAGTATAGCAAGAATCATGGATCTGGCACAGGAAAGGGTGGTGTTTCATTCTGCTGTGAGTCAGAGATGACTTGATGGCACCTAACAACAACAACACTCGCCAAAGTAGTATGTGGAACGAGGTTTTTGTGTAGTATGTTATGCCAATTGAGCCTGATGTCCCTTGGGAACATGGTCCTGAGCCCAGAGGTCCAGCTACTTACTCCCTCCTGGTAGCTGGTTGTGGCCAAGAAGTGACTACAACCTTGTGCCTTGTCAGCTCTACTATATACCTAGGAATTCTTATAGAACATACAAATACACTTGTACAAGCATTGTCTGCCAACCCTATACATGGTCATGGGCACACTCCCCCCTGCATAGACATACTTAATCGTTCAGCCTGTCCACCTATCTATCCATCCATAGATCAATGTTTGCCTTCACTGACAACACAATACTTATGTGCAAAAGGGTTCATCTTTGTTGTCTGTACCTCCCATGCATCTGTCTATGTCTTCTTCTTCCTCAGTGCCACTGTGTCACTCACATTTGATACATTTCACCTTCTTTTCACCCCAATCAATACTTGTCTCTACCAATCTAGCAGTGTTTTCTCCCCTCCCCTCACATCCCTTGAAACCAACAAAGAAAATATCCTTCCGTATAGAAACCTTTCCTTGACTTTTTATAATAACAGACTGATATAATATTCATCCTTCCATGATTGACTTATTTCACTCAGCACAATGTCCTCCAAATTCATCCATGTTATGCGGTGTTTTGCAGATTCTATGTAATTCTTTAGGGTTGTATAGTATTCCATTGTGCGTGTGTACCATAGTTTGCTTATCCATTCTTCTGTTGATGGGCACCTAGGTTGTATTTATCTTTTTTCTATTGTAAATAGTGCTGCAATGAACATGGGTGTGCATTTTTCTGTTCTTGCCCTGACTCTCACTTCTTCAGGATATATACCTAGTAATGGAATGGCTGGGTCAAATGGTATTTCTAATTCAAACTTTTTAAGGAATCACCATACTGTTTTCCACAGTCTCACCAGCTGTGTATGAGTCCCAATATCTCCACATCCTCACTAGCATTTGTTATTTTCTGTCTTATTGAACTTCGCCACTGCCAGTTGTTCCTCAAGAGCTCAGACTCATGGACTGTCCCACCCTGTACTTTGCAATGAGCAGGGTCCTCAGGGTTGGAATCCACTGACCATCTTCCATCTTCTCCTTGGCCTCTGCTGAGGAAGTCCCAGACTTAGACCTGTTTCTCCAATTGTTCAGAATCCCCACCTTCAGATATGTTAATCAAGATGAACTCCCATGGTTGAACTGAAATGAAACAAAATGAAAACCTGTTCTTACCTTTTGCTGACCTGATGTTTCATTCAATTCTGTCTTCCACCTGGGCCTCTGGTTCAGAAAGCTGGGGAGAGTTGGAAGGGGATGTTGGGAGATGAACAGGGAGAAATGGGTGAGAAGGGCCAAGCAGAGCTTTCTAGCAGAGTGATGAGCCTGATAGGGAAAAGGAACTCACCAAGAGAGGGGAGGATATGTGCCTTACCAAGTAGCTGTGGTCAGGTGACTCTGCTTAGAAGATCTAGGTATCCCTGTTCTGCCATTTGTTTGCTGTGTGGTCTTGGGCAAGCAACCTAACCCCTCTGAATCTGTTTCTCAGCTGTCCAGTGGAGAATTATCATACAGTCATAGGATATTGTGAGGGTTCCATAAATGTGAATTGTGATGAGTATGGACTAATGTACTAATACATTAGTAAGTGAATGCATCATAAGTTACATAGGATCTTCCAGAGGAGCTGAGCAACATGGCTTACACCAAGTGGATAGTCAAGAGGAGTGAATGTTGGATTTTTCATGAGAGTTTTGCTATTGTGTAGATATAACCTGAGCCTCTGGAGCTGAAAGGCCACGTTGTTTTCTCCTGGGTTGGGCAACTTGTGTCTCCTTTCTTGTTGGCACAAACAGGGCCCAGAGGAGGACCTGCCTGTGGCTGGCCTCAGACTAGCCTTAACAAAGCTTAATGCCTTAGTAAGAAATATTCCCTACTCATAAAGATGCCCACCTCAGAACTGGCATGAGGCTCTCCTCTCCTGCCAGCTGTTCCTCAAGAGCTCAGACTCATGGACTGTCCCACCCTGTTCTTTGCAATGAGCAGGGTCCTCAGGGTTGGAATCCACTGACCATCTTCCATCTTCTTGGCCTCTGCTGAGGAAGTCCCAGAGAGCAGCTGACTTGGGGAAGGTCTGGGAAAAATCTCCTTGCTTTTGGGGGGGCCAGGGCGGGGGATGAAGCACTGTTGATGAGAAAATTTGCCGATTCTGTAGATCTCTCTAGACGGGTTCAGACGCTCTCAGCGGCGTGACGGGGATTTGTGCAAACATTGCTTCCTTATACAAAGAGGAATGCAAGAGGAGGCTGTCTGTGGTACATCGCAGACGGGTAGAGAAATGTGCCCATGCTTGTGAGAGTGCAGTGAGGACGATGAGGCCAGGACTGAATAGGGCAGGGCCTGGGAGGCGAAGAGCGGTGCCGTTGCCTGGAGCCCATGGGCTTCGGATGGGCACCCCTGTGACGCAGAGGACCAGTCCTCTTCCCTCCTACAGGAAGCTCCCTCTCCAGGCCCCAGTAAGGCCCTTCCTCACCCTGCTGCTGCTGGTTTCCATCAAGCAAGTAAGAGCAGTTTACTATTTATTATTATTGTCATGGATTGTGCATATTTTCTGATTATAGAAACAATGTGGGTCTCTTGTAGGCATTCTGGGAAATACACAACACTATTAGGAAAATAATGATCAACCAGAATCCTAGGATTTAGAGGTAATCACTGTTAATATTTTAGCCTATTTCCCTCAAATCCTTTTGCTATGCATTTTTTACACAGCTAAAATTATGATACATTAAACATTTTATATCCTGGTTTCCCCTTTACATCATACTACAAGTATTTTCCCATGTTGGCGGGAACTCAGAAAATACCATTTAGAATTGCTGCATGTATTCTCCCATGGGCCTTTTTTATTCTTTCAGGTTTGAGCATTTAGGTAAAACTGCTTGCTCTGTTCTGTTTTATTTTTCCTTTCCTTCTCTTTCTTTTTCCATTCCTTCCTCCCTTCTTTTCTTTCTTATTATAAAAGTATAGAATGCTCGTTGTTTTAAAAATAAAAATAAATACAAGAAGTACTGACTCTGTTCTTATCTTTCCTTTCTCTTTTTTCTTTTCCATTTTCCTTCTTCCTTCCCTTCTTTAATTATAAAAACATAAATACTCACTGTTTAAATAAAAAAAAAAAAAAGAAAAGAAAATACAAAAAAGTATAAATATAATGTATAAATCCTATAATTCCACCACCCAGAGATCACCCTCATTCATAATTTGGGACTTACACTTCCAGATTATATTTCTACCATTTATTTACATACAATCTTTTAAAAAAATATATGGGCTCATACTATACATATTTTTTGCAATCTGCTTTTTTTCTTTATGCAATGCGCTAACAACTCAACTTTTTTTTTTTTTTTTAATTAGGCACATATGATGCACTAAGCCTGGTGCCAGGTGTCTCTTATCTTATTTCACACTCTCAGCAATCACGTGAGGGAGGTTCTCTTTTTCTAGTCCCATTTTAAGATGAGAAAACTGAGTCTCAGGGAGGTTGAGCAACATTTTTCCATGCCAGTAAATGTAGATCCATGGCATGATGTTGAAGGGCTTTAAGGATGTTTTCTATTTTTTTATTGGGCCATGATTTGAATGAATTTCAGTTCCATTGTCTGAAGAACAACTCTTTTTCTCGTTTGACTGATAGACAGAGTTAGTCCCTATTTGCAGAAATCCTATTTTCTTTCCTTTCTTGGAATTCTGATTCCCCTGGAATCCCCATACAGGCTGCAGTCCCAGATCCCACACAGTTTTCACCGTATCAGGCATTCTCTGGGGCAAGTGGCTTTGAGAACTAAGGTGTTCCTGACCCAAGCTATGGTGTTTTCCATTGCCTCACATGCATGTTAAAGTCGGACAATGAATAAGGAAGACTGAAGAACTGACACATTTGAATTATGGTTTTGGCAAAGAACATTGAATATGCCATGGACTGCCCAAAGGATGAAAAAAGTCTGTTTTGGAAAAAGTACAGCCAGGATGTCCTTAAAAGCAAGGATGGTGAGACTTCAACTCATGTACTTTGGTCATATTATCAGAAGGGACAAGTCCCTGGAGGAGGACATCATGCTTGGTAAAGTAAAGAGTTAATTAAAAAAGAAAAAGACCTCAACAAGATGGATTGACATAGTGCCTACAACAGTGGGCTTAAACATAGCAAAGACTGTGAGGATGGTGCAGGACCAGGCAGGGTTTTGTTCTGTTGTACATAGGGATGCTATGAGTCAGAATTGACTAGACTTCACCTAACAACAGCCTGGGACTAACTAGCTGCCTTGGCACTGAGTCTAACTCATGAAGACCCCATGTGTGTCAGCGTAGAACTGTGCTCCATAGGTTTCTAAGTGGCTGATTTTTTGGAAGTATATCACAAAATCTTTCTTCTGAGGCACCTCTGAGTGAATTTGAATCTCTAACCTTTCAGTTAGCAGCTGAGTACATTAACTGTTTGTACCACCCAGGGACTCATAGACAGGCGGAAACCCCCTACCAAATTCTCCCAGAGGCTAACTTCAAGTCTTCATGACTGCAAATGTGAGGCCAACCACTGACTCTATTTTAAGCAATTCTTGCCATGCCAGCCTCTTGTTGAGTGATCAGGACAATCCTGAGGGGCAGATGGCCCTCATCTGTCTCTGGCCCCACTGATCCAATCAATTAGTGGTTGGGCCATTGTTGGTAGAGTTGATACAGAACTCTCATCCTTGCTTCAGTTCTCTGAGTAACTCATATGAAAACTGGGTATGTTCTGCTAACTGCCTATTTTGTTACCATCTATCCACAGACATATAGTAATTGCCTACTAGGTGCAACAGTAAAGAGCTCTGGTAGTGTAGTGGTTAAGACATTTGGCTGCTAACCAAAAGCCCTGTTGTTTGAATCCATGAGCCACTTCGTGGAAGAAAGATGAGGCAGTCTACTTCTGCAAATATTTAGAGCCTTGGAAACCCAATGGGAGTTGCTGTGAGTTGGAATTGACTCGATGGCAGTGAGTTATTTTGTTTTGTTTTTTGGTTTGAGATGCTGTTGTTGTTGTTGTTGTTGTGTGCCATCAAGGTGGACCTGACTCATAGCAACCCCTCTTTGGGTTTCTGAGGCAGTATCACTACGGAAGTAGGTTGTCTCATCTTCCTTCTGAGGAGTGGCTGGTGGGTTTGAATCACCAGCCTTCTGATTATCAGTCAAGTGCCTTAGGCACTACTATTTAAAACAAAACAAAACCAGTTGTCGTCAAATTGATTCTGACTCATGGTGACCCCCATGTGTGTCCGAGTAGAATTATACACCATAGGTTTTCATGGCTGTGACCTTTTGGAAGCAGATCACTAGGACTTTCTTCTTAAGTGCCTCTGGGTGGATTCAAACTTCCAACCTTTCAGTTAGTAGATGAATACTTAACTGTTTGCACCACCCAGGGACTAAAGTACTTTGGGTTTTATTGTAACATGCTTCCATATATATCATCTTGCTTAAACCTTACAATAAGCCTCTGAGAAAAATATGATTACTGGATCCCATCTTACAGATGGGGAAATTAAGATTCAGGGGGTTATGTTAAATGATTGCCCACAATCATGTAGCTTGTGAGAGATGGAGCTGTTGCAGCTATCCAGGGTACTTGAAGTCCTGTGTTCTTTCTCCCATGGATTCCTTGGAAGCTGTTGACATATGAATATTTATATTCTACAGCTGTAGAATTTGCAGTGTCTCAGGTAGGCTTATAACACTGGCAACTCCATAGTTTGGCCCATTCGCTGTGGGATTTTCATAACTGATAACATGCCCACGAACAGTATCCCTTCCCACTCTCCGCCAGCCACTCGCTCTCAGAGCCTCTTTGTTCGGTCTGTGCTCTAGCATGCGTCAATAATTCTGATGACTGTCCTCTTGGTTCTCCACCTTAAGCCCCGTTTCTTTCTCTAGATGTTTATATTATGTGGCTTTGTGTAGACTTTGATGATGAATTTTGCTTGTAGATGTTTTCCCTACATGGAATATAAATGGTTGTGGCGTGTTTTCTGGCAGGAAGTCTTCATAAAATTCACTTAATAAGAAATTCTCAGGGACAGTTTAGTTTTAAAGTTCAAGTGGGGAAATAGTTCTATACTCACTCCACCACCCCTCATTTAACTCAATTAGCAGTTGCTTTGGCATCATAAAAGCATAAACCCTCTAAGGCTCTTTGAGAAAGAGATTGTGGCCCTTTCATACATTGCTTGTGGTAGTGTAAAATGGTACATATTTTTTTAGTTAAAAAAAATTTGGTGAGGAAAGACAGTTTGGCAGTACATTATCAAAAGCCTTAAAATATATGTATACACTATGACCCAGAAATTCCAATTCAAAGAATTTCTTTTGAGAAAATAAAGTTGTGTTCAAAAATTTAAAGATTTTCATTCCAACATCATTTCTTTTTAGCAAACATCTGAAAACAATGCAGATATTCACTGCTAGAGGATTTAAAAAAATAAATTATGTTACATCTATTTGTAGACTATTATATTGCTATTAAAATTGTTTTAGAAGTATATTTCTTGAAATAAAAATATATTTGCAACATATTATATTTCCTAGTGAAGAAAGTCTACAACATAGTATAATTTCATCTTCATTAAAATAATCAGAGAAGAAAAGGAAGAAGGAAAAAGAATTTATATATACAGAGAGGAGATTCTGGAAGAAGATAGTAATTTCTGGATAATAAGATTATGATTCCACCTTTCCTTCTTTTTGTTTATCTGTAATTTCTGTTTTAACTACAGTGAGTTGTATTTCTTCCCTGACAAAGAAATATTGAAGATTTATTTAAAGGGAGGTAATAGAAGATCTTTCCCACCTTTTCCCTTAATTCCTTCTCAGATAAGTCAGATGTAGTTGCTGGTGGCCCAAAGGAAGGAGGAATCAAGATTGAGTTGGACTTTCTCTTAGAAAAAAAGCCACTCATATGTTCTTTCCTCATTACTTGTCTGGAAATCTGGCTGTGACTGAACTTGAATGTGCTTCTTGTGTTTTGAGATCTTCAGAATAATGACCAGGGGAGACAAAGTGACTCTTAGATGTACCAAATGCAGTGTTTCTAGAGATTCTTGTTTTTCTGCTTTTGACCATGTACATTAGCCATGACAAAAAGCAGAGGGGTAAGGGAATGCTAGTCCAGGGTTAGCTCATGTAGATGGCTGATTTTATTCTCTTCCTCAGCTAGATTCCAGTTAGATTCCTGAGGCCATGAATAATACTTTATTCAAAAATAGCATCTTCCTTTGATGATTTGGGGAATTCTGGAAGCTTATTATTTAATTGTCAATGTATCTGCTGGATTTATAAAAACAATATGGGTTCAGTTATGGACTGATTAGAATATTTATTTAATGAATTTACATCTTACTTTTGGGGCCATAACACAGAGATATTGTTAGTAGAGATTGAGAAATCGCTGGAGATTGAAACCAGTGGATAAATGTCAGTTATTTCATCATCATTATTTTGACTTGTTGGCTAATCCCATGGTTCCCGAAGTGTGTGCTAAAGTGCCTCAGGGTGCTGCTGTGAATTCACAGGGATGGTGTCAGATATTTTAAAATTTCAAGGGGAATACCGTGATGCTTGACATCTACCAGGCCCTGTGTAAACTACTAGCTTGAAGTCATTCACAGTTTCATTAGATCACACTGCATTTCTGTTGCTGCCATAATATTGTTACAAAATCGAATGTTTTGCCATTGCAGTGATAAAAAGCAAGTATGACACAAAAATCTATTTAGAACAGGTAATTGATGGCATTGTCCAATCTGATTCTAAGATTGGAGAAGTAGTGTAATGCCCAATATGCACTAAATCATTAAGACATCCCTATTTATTGAGATGTTTGAACCTACCTACTTAATAATACCATGACCTGACCCAAGCCATAGTATTGTCAATCACATCAGATGCATGTGCAATCTAGACAATGAATAAGGAAGACAAAAGAAGAATCAATGCATTTGAATGTTAGTGTTGGCAAAGAATACTGACTGTATCATGGACTGCCAGAATAAGAAATATATCTGTCTTAGAAGAGGTACAACCAGAATACTCCTTAGAAGCAGGGGTAGTGAGATTTTGTCTTATGTACTTTGGGCATGTTATCAAGAAGGACCAATCCCTGGAGAAGGACATATTTCTAGGTAAGATAGTTTAGTGAAAGAGAGGAAGACCTTCAATGAGATGGATTGACACAGTGGCTGTGACAGGAGCTCTAACATAGCAGTGACTGTGAGGATGGTGTAGGACCAGTCAGTGTTTTGTTCTGTTGTACAGACGGTCACTATGAGTTGGAACCTCCTCGATGGCATCTAACAACAATAACAATAACAACTTAATACATTGGACTTTAGATATTTCTTTTGGTCTAAGAATGCTATGGAAAAAATTACTGAGACTCTCAGGACACCATGAACTAAGAAAGTTTGGGAACCTCTGGTCCAGTGATGACTATACTAGTTCTTCTTCAAAACACTGACTTTGTGATTCTCTGGAAAAGACAAAATACTTTTTGATCCTCTGTGGAAAACCATCCACAGACCTCATCAAGAGATCAACAGTGTGTGTGTGTGTGTGGGGGGGGTGTCAGGAAGGAGGGCATCTGGGCAAAGAAGGGAGAGGGATTTCTATTGTTGCTGTGGGTTGTCATCAAGTTGACTACAACTCATAGTGACCTTATGTATAAGAGAATGAAACATTGCCTGATCCTGTGCCATCTTCATGACCATTGGTATGTTTGAGTTTATGGTTGCGGCATTTGTTTCATTCTATCTCATTGAGGGGTTCCTTCATTTTTTTTCTGACCCTCTGCATTACCAAATGTGATGTAAAGGGAGAGGGTAGATTGGACTAGTTACTCATGAGCTAAAAACTGGCTGCCCTTAGACCAATAGATGGTTTGTGTGTGTGTGTGTGTGTGTGTATTTGCTTAATTGAACTTGAATGCCTTTAGATGAAGTATCTCCCCAAAGCTACAGGCTTCCCCTCTCCCTATTGTTACAGTTGTCTTGTTTCATTCCTTTGGGTTATTTGCCTAAGAAAACATTTGAGTTTGTTACTCCTTGCAAGAGGAGACAAACCTCAAAGTAAATTGGTTAATTGAGTAATTTTATCCCAGATCACATATTTAACCCTAACCCTGCATTCTTCACCTCCAGCCATTCTCCACTCCACACTGTGCCTCTGTTTCTTTAGTTGTAAAACAAAGGAACACAAGGGTGATGGCTCTTGCCTTTGCTAGAGGCTTGTACTCAGAGGTGAAGGATTTATCTCAGTCTTTAAGAAACTTATGGAGCAGTAAGGGAGATAGACAAGTGAATCACCAATGACAATACAGTGTGATGGGCCCTAGGAATAATTCATGTGTGGGGTCCAGTGGCACTGAGAAGGGTTACTAGCTCAATACTTCTCTCAAGGGAGAGAGGTGGTCATGTACAACTTCCTAAGGATCATTTGGTTTGACGTTCAGCCTTGAAGAAGGAAGAGTCAACCTGATGAAAAGTGTGGGTGTGTGTGGGGGTATAAGTACCAGTGGGATGTGCAAAGATGTAAAGTGGGATGAGCAAAGATGCAAAGTCATGAAAGAGCATGACAGATGTGGAGAGATTTGGGATGGAGATGGCTGAAATGTTGAATCTTGAGTCTGTAGGGCATAACTGTAAGACTTTACAATAAAAGCACTATGCTCAAATTTATGCTCTGGCACATCATGGAGGGTGGACAGTGGTGCCAGGCCAGAGGTGGGGGAAATGAGAAGCAGTGTTGGACAGGGCAGGAATTTAGAAGGTAGAGTTGACAGATCTGGTGACTGGTTAAATGTGGGTTCAGGGTGAAGAGGTATTGAGAATGGCTCTTGGCTTCTAGCTTGTGATTGAAAAGACAATGATGCCAAGGACTGAGCCACAGGAGGAGAAGCCTGTTTGGAAGCAGAGGATGACAGGATAAAAATATCCCTTGACTTTGTATTCCAATCCATTATATAATTGTCTTGTGTTTGGTTAATGTGCTCAACTGCTACTGAAAGGGTTAGAGGTTTGACCCCACCCAATAGTGCCTCTAGAAAGGCCTAATCTACTTCCAAAAAATCAGTCATTGGAAACCCTAAGGAGCACATTTCTACTCTGAGGCACATGAGGTCACAGTTAACTTGGCAGCAATTAGTATGTTTAGCTGATTTTAAGTACGTTAGGGCAAAGACTGTATCTTGTTCATCTTTGTATCCTTTTCAAATCCTCCTTACTGCAAGACACTGCATGTAAAATGTGCTCAATAAAAAAGTAAATTGAACAGTAGAAGAGAAGACTCTTTTAAAACAAAAACAAAGTGGCAAAAATACTCAATTAGAAGTTGTTAGGTAATCCAATTATCTGAAAAGTTGAACAGTTTATGTTATAGTTCCAAGGTTATATGGAATGGGAAATTCCCTGGATGGTGCAAAAAGTTGGTGGTTTGAACTCACCCAAAGGCACCACCTGGTAAGATTACACCAAGAAAACCCTAAGGTACAATTCTACTCTAGAACATGGGGTCACTATGCGTCAGAATCTATTTGATGGCAAAAGTGTGTGTGTGTGTGTGTGTGTGTTTAATGTAATAGGGCAGGTAACATCAGAAAGGAAAAAAAAATCCAAAGCCTTGGTATACAGTAGAACATCCACCTACCCATTGTCTGCCTCTGGACTCACAATGCCCCGGTTGGATGGTGCAGGCCCCTGCAACTCTCCCGGCTCTTTTCTGGTACATTACTTTGCCTTTTTTAGTGTGATGCTTCTCTCTTTTGGATCCACACAGTCTTAGGAGTGTGCAACTACTTGTCTGAGATGGTGTGAAACTTCAAGATGAGTATATTGCATCCTTTTGAAATGTCAACCTCACTTGAAGACTTTTTAAAAAATCTTGTTTGTATTAAAATCTGTATGATTAGATCATGGGGTTGATACAAAATATGCACGTACGATATTACTTAAGGTAGATGAGAAGATGCCCAAAACATTCTGTTCTTGGTACAGGCCATTAGGGGTACTCTAGCAGGAAAGTCTGAGAATCATGTTACAAGATGATAGCACAGCCACATTTCCGTTTGCCGCTATCTGGAAGTCACCATATTTTTGTCTGTTTAGGTTACAGGCTCTCTTCTTGAGAAGACAACTCAGAAGTGGGCACAGTACAAAGAGAAGTGTCTGAGAGACTTACTCAAGGAACCTTCTGGTAAGCACATGTATTAGTTATTGCTGGCTGTGTAACAGATTACCCCAAAACTTAGTGGCTTAAAACAACAGTAAGTATTTATTATCTCTCACAGTTTCTGGGGTCAGGAGTTCAGGCAGGGCACAATGAGGATGGCTTATTGAGACATTAATTCATTCCCTTACACATCTCTTGGTTGATCTGCTGTCAGTTGACAGCCTAGCTGGGACTGTTGGCCAGAATACCTCCATGTGGCCTCTGCACATGGCCTAGGCTTTCTCGCAGCATGGAGGCTGGGTTCCAAGAACAAGCATCACCAGAGGCCATATTGCCTTCTATGACATAGCCTCTGTTGTTGTTGTTATGTGCCATCGAGTTGTCTCCGACTCATAGCGACCCCTCCTTGGACTTCCGAGATGGTATCACTACCGAAGTAGATCACCCAATCTTCCTTCTGAGGAGTGGCTGGTAGATTTGAACCGCCAACCTTCTGGTTAGCAGTCAAGTGCCTTAGGCACTATGCCACCAGAGCTCCCGACCTAGTCTTAGTCACACACTATCATTTCTAATATGTTCAGTGCATGAGAATGTCACCAGCGCTCCCTACAAAGGTCTACACAAGTTTAAAGAGAAGGGATATAGACCCCCACTTCTCATTATAAAAAAGACATATGTGATGGGATGTATATTGGTATTGCCATCTTTGATAAAAAAGACAGCCTGTCACGGCACACTCACATGACATTAATGACTTGTGAATTAATTTGGAAATCTATTGTGAAGGAAGGAACCCTTGTAGTGTAGTGGTTAAGCATTCATCTGCTGATTGAAAGGTTAGCAGTTCAAACTCACCAGCCTCTGAGGGAGAAAGATGAAGCAGTCTGCTTCCATAAAGATTATGGCCTTGGAAACCCTATGGGACAGTTCTACTCTGTCCTTTTGGGTCACTATATGTCAGCATTGATGTGACAACAATGGGTTATAAGTTATTATAAGAGACAGAGGGATAAGAGATCTTTACTAGTCTTCCAGGGTTTTAACTGAATCTGAGTAGTAACATTTCTTTTATCCAAGTCTACAGTGTTTGGAGCATTTTAGCAAATGTTTTAATAGTTTGATCATTCCCTGGCCTCTCTGTCCACATGTTGACTCTGTGTGCATCTAGATGTGCATGTCCACCTCAAAAAATAAAGGAGGGGGAGGAGGAGAAGGAGAAGAAGCCTTGGCCCATTGCCTCTGGGTACTGGAAATCAAAGGTGAAAGCTACCCATTCTCTCCCCAGCTGCTTCTTTCAGATTATTTCATTTAGAGGTCTGGAGGTTGATGGGGACTATAAACACTCCATTCCTTTTCATGATCTGAAGATATTCCCAGGCTTCAGGCCATAGCCCTCTCCCTCTAAAAATTCCTACATCCCAGATAGGGATAATTAAGACTTGCTAGGTGCAGTGCCCTTAGCAATTGACTGCTAACTAGAAGGTTGGCAGTTCAAACCCACCAACCATTCCACAAAAGGCAGACCTGACAATCTACTTCCATAAAGATTTACTGCCTCAGAAACCCAATGGGGGTCACTATGTGTTGGAATTTACTTGATGGCAGCAGGATCAGTTATAAGAGCCACCTCCCACTTTGGGAAATACTGTTTTCTGAGGGCTGAGCAGGACAAGTCCTCTACATCTGAAGCCATTCTGCTAGCAGCTCAGTCAGTTGAGCACCTGCCTCACAAAGATGAGGTCTTGCCAGCCAGGTCATCAAAAGTGCCAAAACTCAGCTTGTAACCTAGCACTTCTGCATTTGTAGGCATATAGATGCCACTAACCTAACTGTTCACTCCAAGTAGGCGCTGAATTTTAGCCTAATAGAGAGCAGTTTGTGGGGAATGATGCTTATTCCCAGGGTCAGGAGTTTGCAGTATAGAAATTTGGGACCCAGTCTGAAACCACTCCTTCATTTGATTATTAGAAACCTATAAGGCTTGGTCTTATGTTTGTAGCCTCCCAAGTGCTGGTTTAACACATCCCCTGTGCTTCATCTGAATATTTAATAATGATCACTAGAGTAGTTTTCATATGTAGAAATATGACCAGGTATTTCTTGTGTTGGATATTCATAAAACTTCAGTAATGCCACAGGTGACCTAAGATCGACTGGTCATTTTGCATGTTTCATAGGGTGAAGTTTCTCTGGGATCTAATTGGTGAAAGTTTAATAACTATTTAGTTAACTATGGAACAGAAGGCCACTGGCTGAACCTTCAAGTGTCCTTCTAAACCCAAGTTTCTGTGAGAGTTCAGTTCATGTAAAATAAACCAAAATCAGTGTGACGTACATATTCACATAATTGGACCTTGGCCAGAGGTCATTTTGGGTAGACAAAGCCACAGTGTTTGGGGTTGCATTAAGTATTCCTGTCCAACCCCCTTTTCCTTCCTCATTCCAGACCCATCTGGTCCCTGCACAGGTCCCATCAGCTTCCAATGCCAGGAAGGTGGGCTCTGGGCTCTTGGTTACTTTTTTCTGGGTCTGAAAACCTTGTCCTTCAACACAGCTTCACTTGGACTCCTCTTCTCTCCACAATGTATCTGGGTGGCTCAAAAGATCAATATACTTGACTACTAACTTAAAGGGTGGTGTTTCAAACCCATCTAGAGTCACTGCAAAAGACAAGCCTGCGGATCTGCTTCAAAACATTACAGCCATTGAAAACCTTTTGGAGCACAGTTCTACTCTGCACACATGGGGTCAGTGAGTTGGAGTCAACTCCATGGCAACTGGTTTGGTTTTTTTTTTTCTCTCCACAGACATATTTTGTAATGGGACATTTGATAAATATGTGTGCTGGCCTCATTCCTCTCCAGGAAATGTCTCAGTTCCTTGCCCTTCATATTTACCTTGGTGGCGTGAAGGTAATAAGCCATATTTTACAAATTTCCAGAAATTCCTTTAAAGGTTGATCCCTCCTAATAGATCAGCCAGGGGGTAGGTAGAGGTCTCAAATCAAGTGTTTTTTTCATGTCCCTTCTACCTGCAAAAGGTTCCCCTCTAAACATTCAGTAATACATCTTCTTTCTTCTCTCTGCTTCTCCTCTTGTCTTCTGAGATTCTATTACTGGATGTTTCATTTATACAACAGCTCTTTGCTTTGAAGACTATAGAGTACACCCCCTGCTACCCCAGAATTTGCCTACAGGAAGAACAAGAATTATTACTGTATTGGAGAGTAGGAGGAGGTAGAGAAGGAAGATTGGGATGGTCACATCCGCACAACTTTTAGCTTGTTAGATGAAGAGAACAGATTTAAAACTCAACTGCTAACTGAAATCTTGGAAGTTTGGGTCCATGGAAGAAAGACCTGATGATCTCCTTCTGAAAAATCCGTCACTGAAAACGCTGTGGAGAAGGTCTACCCTCACATACATGGGGTCACCATGAGTAGGAATCAACTCAATGGTAAGTCGATTTTTATAAGCATAGGAAGGAGGCACCACTGAATTGGTGCTTTTCAGCCCCATAGTACTTGGATAGCAAATTTAACCACTTATTTTGTTTAAAGGAAGTTAATATTACTAGCAAACCAAGAGGGCTATCTTAGTTCCTAGTGCTGCCACAACAGAAACACCAAGATGGGAATCTTTAAAGAATAAAAATTTATTTTCTCACAATTTTTGAGGCTAAAAATCCAAATCAGGTTCTCAGTCATGCCAAGTTCTTCTGTGAGACTCTTACTTTTTGTTGTCTGCCAGCAATCCCTGGCGTTCTTTGATGTCCTTCTTCTTCCTATGTGTATGTCTCTGTGTCTATTTGTATATTTTTATAACTCAGAAGTGATTAGATTTAGAATCCTCCCTCCACTGATATGGCCTCATGAACATGACAAAAGAAACCCCCTATTTCCAAACAGGGCTGTGGTAGTTATGTTTGTGTGTCAACTTGGCTGGGCCTGGTTGAGTGGCTGGGCAGCTGGTGGTAGTTATTCCTCAGGATGAGACTGGCAATCAACTCCATGGTTGAGTAGCTGCCTTTGGAATGTGGTCTGCTTCCTGTATATAAGGAGAAGCCTTGGGAATGGTCTCTAGCGTATGGTATGCTTGGACACTGCATGTAGCCCTGTCATTGATCAGCAGCCTGCTATTCTCTGCCGACCTTGGGACTTAAAATGGACTTAAGTTAATGGCCTGCCATGTGGTTTGGTAACATTGGGACTGTGCCTTTTTACTTGTTAACCTTGTGGCTTGTCAGCCTCAGCAGCCAGCAGCTGTCTGAGTGAAGACAAGTCTCTAGCTCCAGTGGGCTGGGAGCAGGAGGTGGAGCTGGACCCCAAGGTTGAGGGGCCTATATCCAGCCCCTAGAGCCTGGCACTTTGAACTTGGACTTAAAGCCTCAAAATTGTAAGAATAAACTCCTGTTTGTTAAGGCCATCCCATTTGTGGTATATTCTTCAGAGCGGGACTAGGTAACTAGAACAAGGGCTGTATTTACAGGTACAGGGGTTAAGATTCTAACATGGTTTTTAACATAATTTTATCTATTTTGTTGAGAATTTATACAGCAAAATATACACTAATTCAACAGTGTGTACATGTACTTTTAGCGACACTGATTACATTCTTTGAATTGTGTAATCATTCTCACCCTCCTTTTCTGAGTTGTTCCTCCCCCTTTAACATAAATTTGCCAATCCCCCACCAAAGTTCCTCTCTAATCTTTTGAGTTGCTGTTGTCACTTTTTTAAAATTATTTTTTAAGAGTTTGTTTTACATTCAACGTTATGTGTACATTTAGTTTCACTCCCCATTTACCATGTCCAACCCTAACCCAGTATCCTCTCCTCCCTGTCCAGTAACCCTGTTCCCCTCATATTTATGCACTCCTGTTTGTCCTGCTTTCCTCAATTTGGATGTTGGTCCTCTGGTGTCCTGTGGTCGATTGCTCCAAGGGATGTATTACCATAGAATATGTGTGTGTGTCATCCTGGGTTGAGTGGTCTGCGTGTACATCTTATTAACTATTGGGCTGAGAGCCAGCTCCTGGGAGTGAGCTTTATTCCAGGCGCAGAATGTGTTCTAGTGCCATAGTATTGGGGGTCTCACCAGACTCCATCCAACCAGTAATTCTGGTCATTATTGAGTTTTTGGATTTTGTTCCACGTTTTTTACTCCTACTCTATCCTGTATCTCCAGATTTGATCCTTTCCTGAGTGGTTGGCATTGGTAGCTGGGCACCATCTAGTTCTTCTGGTCTCAAGAGCCATCGTGTCCTAGGGCTAATTGTTTCCAAATGTCTTTTTTTTATTATTATTTTTTTGCACTCTTCTTCTGATGCTAAGAGACCATTAGATGCATCTTAGATGGTCACTTGAAAGCTTTTAAGACCCCAGTTGCTACTCACCAATATGGGAAGAGGAACAAGGCTTTTACGTATTTTGTTGTGCCAATTGAGTCTGGTGTCCCCCAGTGCTATGGTCCTGAGTTGATAGATCCGTTGGATCTCTCTCCTATAGTGTCTGGGTATCTGTGAGGGATTGCTCTGTGCCTGTCTTCTATTGTTTCTATAAGGATTGTTGAGTTGCTGTTGTCACTTTGATCCCATATAGATAGATCTTAAAAGAGCACAATGCTCAGGACAGATATTTTTTACTAGTTAAGCCAAATTACTGTTTGGTTTTAAGAAGACATCCAGGGGTAGTTTGGGTTTAAGGTATAAAGATTATCTCAGGGCAATGGTTTTATTGTTTTGTCCAACCTTCATGGCTCCAGGAAGTCTGGAGTCTATGGATTTTAACACGTATTTTGGTAAACCACAATTCAATCTATAATAAGAGTGTTCCCCTAGCCTCAACCTAAGTACCCAGATGCTTTGGCTGTTTTATTCTGGAAGGGTGAAGAAGCAATTCCTGATTAAAACTCTGTTGCCTTTGACTATTAGACCATGGGCAAATCTAAGACCAGGTAAAACTTTTCTCTAGAAACATAAGTGGTTAAAAGTTCTAGACAAAACCTAGTGAGAATTAATTTCTGAGCAGTTAAGATGATAATTCATTTTTAATTTCAGCTCAGTAAATCATCACATCAGTGAAACTTTGGTTTTAATGTTTTGAGGTCTCTAGTGCAGAGAATTTAGAAGGTAAATTTCTGTGTAGGAGACTTAGGGACATACTTTATGGAACTGTTCTCTGATGGAACAGGTGGAATCATCCCAGGAAACATGAGAACGTGAGGTATATGAGAAGGTAGAAGGGACGGTAGCAGTGAGCTAGCCAGGTTGGAAGGTCTGAATGACTCAAGCGAACAGTAGTTGTGGGAAGCCAGCTCAGTGATGTGGGGAGAACACTGGGCTGGGGGCCAGGAGGTTGGAGGTAAGACCCTAGTCCATCTATTTACACTTTGAGACTTTTTCCTTTAATTATGCAAAAATATACATAACAAAACTTTTGCCATTTTAACCGTTTTTAAGTGTACAATTCAGTGACATTAATTACATTCACTATGTTGTATAACCATCACCACTATCCATATTCAAATGTTTTTCATCCAGTGGTGGTTCGTTATAGAATTCTCACCTTCCACGTAGGAGATCAGGGTTCAATGCCCAGTTAGTTTATCTCTTGCACAGGCACCACCCTTCTGTTAGTGGAGGTGTGTGTGTTGCTATGATGCTGAATAGGTTTCAGCAGAGTTTCCAGACAAAGATGGAGTAGGAAGAAAGGCCTGGCAATTTATCTCTGAAAATCAACCTGTGAAAACCTATGGATCACAATGGTCTTATCCTGTTATGCATGGGATTGTCATGAGCTGGGGGCTGACTCAGCAGCAGCTAATACGTATTTTATATAAGAGAGTCCATATAGTATTTGATCTTTTGTGTTTGACTTATTTCACTCAGCATAATGTTTTCAAGGTTTGTCCATGTTGTAGCATGTATAAGGACTTCATTTCTCTTTATGGATGAATAATATTTCATTGTATGGATATAATACATTTTGTTTATCCATTCAACTGTTAATGGACAGTTAGGTTGTTCCCACCATTTGTCTCTTGTACATCATACTAGAATGAACATTAGTGTACATGTTATCTGTTTGAGTTCTTGCTTGCACTCTGAAACTTTTGGCAAATTCTGGAGCCCTCTATGCTGTAATTTTCTCATCTATAAAGAGAAATGAATAATACCTAAATCTTAAGGTTATTTTCTTTTAAGGAGCTCTGGTGGCATAGGGGGTAAGGCATTTGACTGCTAACCAGAAGGTCAGTGGTTCAAACCCACCAGCTGCTTCACAGAAAGATCCCTAGGTGGCATACAGTTTTCCCTTGGTTGCTAACTTAAAGATTGACAGTTCAAACCAATCCAGCTAAAGCAAAGATCTGGTGATCTGCTTCTGTTAAGATTTCAGCCAAGAAAATGTTATGGAGAACAGTTCTACTCTGTAACACATGGGGTTACCATGAGTCAGAATAGAATCAACAGCAGCAACAACAAGGATAATTTGAGGAATAAGTAAGGAAGCACAGACAGAGGCTGCCACATACTAGGTGCTTAGTAAATGGTCACTGAAGGTTGAGCTCCTTGAGTTCTGTTAGGTGTTTAAAGCCCCAAATGTCTAAGGTCTCCCCCAGAGTACATGGGAAAGATCATTTTCCTCTAACTGTACCTTCCCAAGAGCTAAAAATACAGATCCATTTCACTTGAAGAGAAACAAAAAATTCAAACTTACAAAGAAGTTGAATTAAAGGCTCTTAAAAAATATGTTCCGGATTTCTGGAGAGTACAAACAGGGATATGCTTTGCAAACGAGAAAAAGTTACTCTTTGTTCTGGTTACCTAGTGCTGCTCTGACAGAAATATACCATAAATGGGATGGCCTTATCAAACAGGAGTTTATTCCTTTATAGTTCAAGAGGCTAGAAGT